GTATATTAGCCAAGACATAACACAAAAAACAGATAACATTCTTAGAAATTACTTAGGAATTAAAACACCACAAGATTCAACTATTAAAAGATAGGTTATTTCAAAGTGAAATTATTTCCTGATTTAGTCTTAAATACATGTATCTAATATATACTTTATTCACTAATAAATGTTATATTTCATGTTAATGAATAAATATATATAATTATTACTCTAAGGGAGAAACAGTTTACTAAGAATAATTATTTCATGGCTAACAATTTCAATGATTAAATATAAATCCATATTTTCATTAGGTTAATTAATTGCTGTAAACATTTACACAGAATCGTCTCACAATGAATAAAGTCTGTCAGCCAAGAATCCAATTGACTGACACTTTATTACAATGTCTCATTCCAATATTTCTCACTTAACGACTTCCAACAGCTATCAGATATAGATTTCTTTGCCATACATTTATGAGATTTCTGTCAACAAACTGACAGTTTCAGATTTGATAGTTAAAGTCTCGAGTCACTCTTAAGGGAAAGTCTGCCCCCAGCTATGTGAGAGGCGATGCCAACGTCCTCCTCAACGCAGATCAGTGCTGATCAATGGCTTACATCCACCACCGACGTGAGGAATGAAAGCAAATCTGCAGCCAATAATGAGCTGGTATTAATTTTCTGCTCACTTTCAGGAAATAACATCCTCGCTCCATGTTCAACTCTTGATGTTGATGTTGGTTCGGTGGTAACATTGGAACTTTAAACAGAATTAGGCTAAATGTGGACAAGTTTCATAAAGACATGTAAAAAGTACCAGATATTTTGAGTTCTTATAGTGCCATCAATTTCCTGTGATGATATAGGAGGGAATCTCAGTTGGGGGTTACTGACCTTAACAGACGTTAGTTACTGATCAAAGATACAGAACATAAAACAGACTTAAGAAACAGATTGTAAGAAGAGATTTAGAAGATCTAATATCATACTTATTTAATCAAAATATCAAGTCATTCAAAATCTATTTTCATCTTTATCATCTGCACCTTGGTAACATAAATAGCTTCAAAGTAGAAGGCCTGATATTTAATGATAAACAGAATTTAACCTTGTGTTTTGAAATAAAAACCATCGATAAATGTTATAGTGTGAGTGAGTTTAGTTTTACGCCGCACTCAGCAATATTCCAGCTATATGGCGGCGGTCTGTAAATAATCGAGTCTGGACCAGACAATCCAGTGATCAACAGCATGAGCATCGATCTGCGCAATTGGGAACCGATGACATGTGTCAACCAAGTCAGCGAAACTGACCACCCGATCCCGTTAGTCGCCTCTTACGACAAGATAGTTGCCTTTTTATGGCAAGCACATGGGTTGCTGAAGACCTATTCTACCCCGGATCTTCACGGGTCGATAAATGTTATAAGTTCCTTGTCAAGTCTTTGAGTTTTATATTATTATCAGCTTGTGTTGATATATTTAATATCAAAAATCACTTTAGCCAGGTTCTCTGTGTGAGGAAATATTGCCAGTTAAGCAAGTTTTACTGTTGTAATCTTACTATAACCAATCAATTAAGCACTTTCAACAAGAAAAAATATTTAGAAAGTTTCTAAAAAGGGGGTCCATTCACTCCTCGTGAATCTGAATGTGAATATTGCATAATATATGAATACTAAAATGTATATACCATTAAACTACTAAAAACCCAGTTGAGAGAAGAGTTGAAAAGAAGAATTACTGTCGAGAAAGATGGTGAAAACAACTTAAAACAAGAATGGTTACTTTTATTCTCAGCATAGTTTAACCTCATGTCTGAATCTGACTGTGTATTGCAACATATTATGTTTTGAAATATGAAATTAATTGATATAATAACAACTACAAAGATTGCATCATGTTGTTCCACAGCAACCCACAATATCCAGGCCTAGATTTTCGAAGCTCTCTTATCGCTAAGATAGTCATAAGTACCATTCATGAACATTAACTTATGACTATCTTAGTGCTAAGAGAGCTTCAAAACTCTAGGCCCTGGACTGTATGACTTGGCAACTCACTTAACTTGAGAGATTAGCTGGCTTTTTTAAGTACTTTTAAATACAAGAGTGCAATCAGAAAAAGTTAGTAATTTTAAATGTTTAGCACTTGTACTTGTTGAGAGGCAGCATCCTTCCACAAATATAGGACATGATTATATAACACTATTAAGTAAAACTGTGCTTATACATGAAGATGGCAAAGAAGAACAAGAACGGCCACATCCCAGCAGATGCCAAGAAGGCTACAAGTAGGTGTGCGGGTACTGCCCTACACAGCAACACTACAACCACATGGCAGGTCAGGGTTTGGATCTCAACAGGTGGGTGACAGCAACACCATCCACATTGTCTGGGTATGGTGGCACAGCCTGGTCACTGTCATCTGTTTGAACCATTTTGAACTGCCATTGTTGTAAGCCCAAACCCAGCTGGACAAGCCAGATGTTCTTTACTTTAACACTACAGTTATACTTTCATTTTGGATACTTGTATTACTAGGCAAAATGTTGATAAAAGTTACATTAATTAATAAAATATTTTTGTTTCATTCCACTAGACAGTACTTACTGATAAAAAATTAGCATCTTTAATGTTATATTAACAATTATAAAAAGCAATTACTAATCTACATTGAGGGAAGTTCTATAATTCTAGTAAAACTTAATATTACTTCAAACATGCCAAATAAACACTTGGCCAAATTTTGGTGAGTGGTTAAAATTAAAGGAAATATAAGCCAACAAAGTTATGAAAAATTATCAAACGGAATTTAACTGATGTGTCTGAAATCCCAGCAGAAAAATTTCAGTACTCCTTGTTCAGCCAAGGAAAGATAATCAATGTTAAAACTCAATTTCAGCCAATCAATTCAAATGAACATTTTCCATGTTCTAGAAGTCCATCAGAGTGACATTTGTCATCCAAAGTTCCTAAAATATCCAAATTCCAATTGACGACAGAAACTTAAAACAAGGAATTTCAGACACTTTCTACAAACCATGGGGAATTTTAAAACTGAAAGGGGAATATAGTAGTAAAGAAAACATCTAGGAAAAAACCCAACCCTCATATATACCAGAAAACCCTTCTACTGTATAATGTGTGCATGGGTTGCTGGTGTTGCTGGCTGCAGAAGATGTGTAATGGCTGACCACCAGGATACACAGGCGGAACCGGGCAGGGGACCCACATGTTTATCTTCTAATTACTTTACACCATGATTAAAGTGCAAGTGTTCTGTTCACTGGGTATTCAGAAATGGCAGATAACATTTCAGGCCTTTGTTTCTAGTTTCATGCCAGACTGAGCAGTACCCCTGCTCTATGATGGTGGCATGTAAACAGGCAATTCTGGACCACACAATCCAGTGATTGATATAATGAGCAACATCAGTGACCTCAACAAAGTCACTGACCCTGACCTTCCAATCTATTCAGGTCATGGTCAAGTATTGCTTGCTGGGGTAATGTTCTGATCCGGAATCTCATTGAGCCGGAATCATACTACATGTTTGTCAATCATTACAGCCCTTCATCTCCAGAAATTCCACTGGGATGAGATTTGGAAATTTGAATCAATGTATGGTCTATAAGAGACAAAAGGTTAAACTTGACATAATTATGCAACCTAGTTCTAAAATGTAGTAAAAATTGCCATACAAACATCACTTTAAAAGTGGCCATTAACAACTAACGTCCATTGTGAAATGACACTCAGGCCAAAAAAGTGATATTTGACATCATAAATTTTACTAGCAATTTACTTTTGCCTACTCTAGTCATTTCATCCCAGACCTACTGAATATTTCCCTCAAATAGAACAGAACACGTGCACTTGAATCTTTGTGGATGTTAGTTCTGACATTGCCATGTCTGTATTCTAAGTCCAGTCACCCTTCCCAGTCCTGGGGGACGAATGCCTCATTATAAGACAGAGTAACATACAGGGTAACATACTGTCACATGTAGGATCACATGACTTCCTGCCAGTATACACAAAAGCAAGAATTTATGATAATATGGAAAAAAGATTTCCTAAAATAAACATCCTTGGTTATGGAATGCTATGAAACAATGCAGAACCATGAAAATGTGATTCTTATGTAAGACAATGGTTCTTGCCTCACAATGATAGTAGACCAACTACAATATCACACTGTTCATGATTGACTACTACATCTGAACAACAATCATAACCTTGAGATCAATGTCAAGAAATATTTTGAAACATTTAATAAAGTTTTCTAGTTCTTGCTTCCAAATATATAAACCTCATGAAACCATGTGATATTATAATTATGTCCCAATACTGTCATATTCTAATTGTTAACCTGTACAATTTGTACGATATTGAGACATAAATCAATCTAATTGCACCATTTTATGTTTCAAAAGACTTTTATTTTAACAATTAGAATATGATCAATTAAAGAGAAATGTGAATTTCTATAGTAACAAAACTTGCCAAAAATGACACATTATTCAATAAAATACACATTATCAATATATTATATGCATGTAATAATTATGTAAGCAGTAACAAGCAAGTGATGGCACTCGGGTGACAGAGTCAGGAATAAACAGAAAACATGTGAATTATAGAAGAGAAAACCCCACCACTGCCTAACTGGGAGTTTCACTAAATTTGAAAAATATTTTTTACAGAAATATCTGAAATTGCTATACGCTGTCATCACTTCTTTGATAATGCAGCCACATATGAGCAGGGATTGTCTCAAAACTATTTTGTATTTAAAATCAAAGCAGTATTTTACATTTAATGAATTCAGCATGACATACTGGGGAACATTATGGAAAAAAGTTTCACAATGGCTGATCTATGTTCAAAAACACATGTTCAGTGTTTGAGACAAACCCTTTCCCAACATAAATTTAGGTTATAAATACTTGTAGCACACATGTAGTTTATAACCAGTCATATTCCACGTTGGTTATAACTATGCATATTACCTCTTCTGCATGGTGAGAACTCCTCTGTTCGTGTTGTGGAGGGTTTTGAAATGTAACATGTTCCAACAGGCTCCCTCTTGTTATAATCTTTCGAAAGATAAACATATCTTGGGGCACAGGCCTGAAACATAGAGAGAAATAGTCTGAGAAAATTTGGCACATAATGTCACCTGGAATGGAAGATACGTGTGTTATCTCACATATAATATATGGTACATATATACAGTACAACCAGAAATTATTGAGAATTTAAAGATTGTAATATCTTTAAAAAATTTCACTCATTACTCACGTATTAAATGTGAATATTAGCAGAACATAACTCCAGATTCAAGGTGAACAGTTAGTATTTTGTCAAGTCACCATAGGCAGCAATGCAGGCTGCAATGAGGCGGGGCATACTACTGATCAAAGAAGTTAGAAAGTCGTGGTCCATGCTGTCCCAATATCGGACCACCTCTTCTTTCATTTCAGCAATATTTGTCAGATTTTTCTTATTGACACTTTCCTTCATAAGTCCCCAAACATTTTCTATTGGATTTAGGTCAGGGCAATAGCTTGGCCAATCTAATAATGTCATATTTTGGGTCCGAAACCAGGCCTGTGAATGCTTTGGACAATGTTTTGGGTCGTGTCCTGCTGGAAAATCCAAAAATGTCCATAGAACACGTGAGCAGATGGAAGTAAATGTCCCTCGAGAATATCTGTGTAGCGCTCACTGTTCATATTCCCTTCAAATACACAGAGGGGCGTTGCCCCTAACACAGATATGCCACCCCACACGTTAAATTTCGGACTGTACCTTGGGTGCTGATACAAAGGTTTTTCAGTTTGTTTGGTCCAGAATTTCAGTGTATTAGGAAACAGCCACACAGAACTTTCATCTGAGAAAATCACATTGTCCCAGTTAAAATTTCTATGCTGTAAGCACCAGTTCAACCTTTGCTCCTTTTGTTCAGGTTTCATGATCGGGGATGGAATTCCTCGACTTTTCTGCCAACCCATTGCATGCAGCTCAGTTCTAATTGTCTCCTTACAGACAGCCACAGTTCCTCTTTCAATCATATCCAGCCTTAAGTTTTCTAAACTCCTTTGTTTGTTTTTAGAAACAAAAATACCAAGCCGCCTCCTGTCACCTACAGTCAATTTTCTGGGCCTACCTGCGCCATCTGGTGCTCAATGCCATATCCATTTGCAATATTTTTCAAAACACGATAAACAGTGGACAAAAAGATGCCTGTTCTACTTGAAATCACTTTAGCTGATCTGATGTCCTTGTTATAATACTCTAAAATCAACTTCCTCTTCTCTAAATCATCCATACTGAGGATCACTGAAAATGTCAAAGTAAACAAAGGGGGATAACTCTTCACAAACTAATGAAAAGGATTAACGCAGTTGTCTCTCTTGAATGAAACCAAGCACTTGATAGCTGGTCAAGGTTGTTTATACTAGAAATCCAATTAAACATATTCCTAAAATTCTCAATAATTTCTGGTCATACTATACTACAGTATTAAGGCTGGTTAGGTGGCCCAGCAGATGTAGCCCAACATGCAGGTTCTATTCTTTGTATACCCCAAAATGTTACCGGAACGGTACAATAAATCCTGACTCACTTAATTTCAGAACATATTTTCTTCAAACTAGTACATGCAATGAATGCACTATTGTGACTTGTGGGTGATGATTCGAAGATACTGCAGCTTGTTGTACATAGAAGGATCCCTGGGGTAGTTTTCAATCCAGACTTTCCCCTATTATGTCTCTATGTTTGTCAGCACCATATCTCTGTTGGTGGCTTTTACCAAAGTGATAAACATCAGAGAACTGCGTTACTTTGGGTGTTGCTCCCCCAATAAACAGACACGTTGTGGTATAACTGGAGTACTGTTCCACGCCGCATTGAACCAAACTCATGCACTCATTCCTCAGTATAATATTGGTTTAGGGAGAATGTAAATTATATCATTACAGAGGATTACTTCAGCAATCCTAGACTCTCTGTATATTATGTAGCTTTACAGCTATGGAATTACGTCAACAAATACTCACTGGGTCCCTGTGACCTACAGCAAGGGCAAACATACATACATATCTATATTTGGTGGCGAGACTCAAACACAAATAGTTCTGAGTTTTACTTGCCCAAATTATGGTGTGATTTCTTGTTACATACAAGAAATGTTTTTGAGTCAGGACTGAACCACTAACATATTTCACCTGGATTTTGGTTATCTAGAAGGCACTAAGGTTCAGCTGGCCACCCTGCACCCCTCTGTAGGAATGAGTATGGCCCAAGCACCTGCCATGCAGGAGAAGTGTTTACTTGGGCTGTAATCCAATTTAGTGCATCTGTAACTGGCTGGGAGTTTGCTGAATAAACTCATGGGTTTCATTTGAAAATCTCCAATGAAAACAAGAATGGTATTTTGTCTGACACTACTCTACAGTATAGCATGGCTAATGTGGTATTCTTAATGAGCCAATAATTGAATAAAAGACTGGGCGATATTTTCATCAGAAAACAAATTACTCCTCAAAACATATACCAAAGCAAACTTCAAACTCACTTCTTTCCCATTTTATAATGTTACTTAAGCACTGCACAAATGTTCAATGACCATAAGATATCACTGTACTGTGAGTGAGTGAGTGAGTGAGTGTTGATAACACAAGCCGATCACAACCCAGTCACAATGTCCAAACAGCTGTACATTACTGAAAGCATGATGACTATCATAAGTGACTAGATCTGCACTTGAAGATATACATATATTGGCAGGAGTGATAGTGCTTCAAGTGTTTTGTATCCCAGATTCCCTGTTTGTGATGACACAGTTCTCAGCTTCATCTTCAGATATGGATTCCTTGAAAAGACAGAGATCTATAAGTGACACGTCCTGACAACAACCACCTGTCATGATGATACTGATGACTGGACTAGTTCACATGGAACTGACTCCGGAAATAAAGACACTCCAAAACTGTTGAGAAAGTCCCTCGTATCTGGTGCTGAACCCTCCCCTACCTTGGCACATCTGACTCTGGTTGAAGTCTGGTCTAAGCCTGGGTCACAACTGGACATGAAAGGGGTGTATTATTCATAATCAGGGCTCTATTTATTTACTTGCAACTCATGTTGGAAGGAGCTTCAAGCAGAATGACCTCAAGCCTTTCATGGCAGTGAGAAGCTTGATCAGACTCCATCCTTTTGCACTGCAGAATCTTCAAGATATTGTGTTTAATCCTGAAGAGATTCTCAAGTCGATAGCCTTACCGAGTGTCTGTCCTAGAACTGTTGAAATAGACTCATCTTCAAACCCAATGGTAGTCTGTCTCACAGTCCCAGAACCACATTCTTTTCTCTACTGCCTAGCTCTCCCTGTAATACTAACGCCCTAAATGAACTAAGTCCAGTTTACATCGTAATTTCCCATCTGACTGGGGCTCCTTTTCAATTTAGATGGGTTTATTTTTTACTATCAATATTATACATATTCAGAGACTAAGCTTTAGTCTAATCCAATGGAGAATCTCGGCCTTCAAGGGTGTGTTTTCAAAGTTTAGAGAAGATTCTGTCATCATCTTAGATAGATTCTGTGGCATATAGTATTACAGAGTGTCTGTTCTAAATCCTTAGTGAAAGATTCTATCATTAATCCTAGTGATGATTCTATGGAATATTGCATTACTTAGTGTCTATCCTGAAACCTTGGAGGAAGAAGGTTTAATCCTACAGAGATTCTTCAACCTTAAACCCAACAGAGAGAGAAACAGACAGGTCATTATTTCTAATTGAGAGAAATTCTTTCCTGATATTTGCCCACCATAGCCAGGCTGGCATATGTAGGCTCCATTGTCACTCAAACTTTGGTGTTAGCTGCAGAATATAAAATATTAGGTAATAACTAGCAGTAACGACGTGGGAGAATCTTGTAATAAAAACTCATCACATCGGCCATATTGGCCACTCCCCACTGCTCGCAGCAGTCTGGTGTTGTTGATGAGAGAGATAACCTGGTAACAAGGGAGAAGCTTTCACCAGCATCAAACACACAGACCTGACCAAATTAACTACCTTTTGCAGAAGCCATCATCATTTACTCCCAGTTATTGAAACATTAAAAGAAAATTCTTTGAAATCTGAATGTAAAAAGCTATGTAATTGGTCAACAGCCTGGTAAAGCATTCTTTAAAAGTCTTTGAAATGTGTCGTGTGATGGTAAATAGTTTTAATGAAAATGTCTTCAACATAAATGAAAATGCTTTTAGGTTGTCGGATGAATGAAAGGAAAAATAACGAAGACATTCCATGTTTCCATCCAGAAGCACAGGTGCAGGCATTTGGGAATAATATCAGACCGCAGTAAAGGGCATGTAATAAATCACACAAATATGGTATAAATCTTATAACCACACATACTTTTCAACCATCATAGGCAACCCTTAGACCTGCCATTCACAAATGCCCCGGAAGTATAGAGAGAACCTTGAAGGAGGTGCACTTCATTTGTGGATCAGTCCACTGAGAAAATAGGGGTGTTGCCAACTGTGACCCAAATTAAAACTTCAATGTTGAAGCAGTGATGGAGTTTTGAATGGTTTATCTCCCTTTGTAGTGTCTGGATAGGATATTCCAAGAAGAGGACAAAACAGTTTTCATGGAATGCCTTAGAGGATTACAAATGCTTCTCTTTAAACGCCATTTCAAGCTTAAAACATACATCGCAGTGACACATTGAGCAGTTTTTATGTTAAATCACAGTGTGTCAGCTTGATGTAGCAGTATTTCAGTTATATCCTGGTGTGTCAGCTTGATGTGGGAGTATTTCAGTTATCGGTATACAACAATAGTCTCACGTGGTGCAGGTCCAGGAAGGTTACCACTGTGGAAAAACCCATGAGCATGTGTCAAGATTTGACAAAACCAGAAACCAAATCATACCAGGTCTCTAGACAAATGCTTAGTCTCTGAATATATATAATTTTAATAGTAACAAACAAACCTGAACCTGAGGAAATCTACACTTGCTTCATTTAAGGCGTTATCCTTGCAGGGAGTGCTAGGTGGTAGGGGAAATAATGTGGTTCAGGGATTGTGAGACAGCCTAACCAGGT